TTCTGGGGAGTAGATAAATTGCCTTGTTACTTTCTGAATGTTTATGCTCCTTGTGATAGTCTGGGTAAACAGTTGCTATGGAAAGAGATTTTAGATCTAATGGAGGTGAGTGATGGTGGTAATTGGTGCATAGGAGGTGATTTTAATGCAATCCGTAGTAGAGAAGAGAAAAGGGGAAGACACTTTAACAACACTGCCATGAGAGACTTTAATAGTTTTATTGATGAAGCAGGTCTAGAAGACTTGCCGATGTCGGGAAGGAAATTCACATGGTTCAAGACTGATGGATCAGCAATGAGCAGGCTAGATAGATTTTTGGTGTCTACAGGGTTTCTCATAAACTTTCCTGATCTAATTCAAAAAGGTTTATGCAGAGATTTTTCAGATCACTACCCAGTAATGTTAATTAGTTCAAGCAAGGATTGGGGGCCAAAGCCTTTTAGAAGCTTAGATTGCTAGTTTGAAATTAAAGAGTTTAGCTCCTTTGTTCAGGAGAAATGGAACAGTTATAATGTGGAGGGCTAGAAAGGGTTCAGATTGAAGGAGAAATTTAAGTTGCTAAAAAATGACTTAAAAGAATGGAACAGGGAGGTGTTTGGGCACATTGACAGGAACTTAGAGAAGATAAGATGCGAGATTAAGAAATTAGATGACAAAGCTGAGAATGGAGAATTATCAGAATCTGAAATTGAATAGAGGAGATCTTACTTTCAGCAAGTTTGGGAGTGGAACTCGAGAAAGGATAGCCTACTATGTCAGAAATCAAGGCAGAAATGGCTTCAGGAAGGTGATGCCAACAGCAAGTATTTCCATGGGTGCATTGTTAAGAGAAGAAGAAGAAATGGGATAGAAGGAGTTGTGAAGAATGAGGCTTGGGTTGAGGAAGTTCCAGAGGTGAAAAAAGTTATAAAAGAATTATTTGAACTCAAGTTCCAAGAGCAAGAATGGGATAGACCTAGCTTAGAGTTAAATCAGTTAAAGCAACTAAGCCCAGAGGATAACAGCTGGCTGACGGCAGAATTCTCAAAAGAAGAAGTAAAGGCAGCGGTATGGAATTGCAATGGGAGTAAAAGCCCCGGACCAGATGGTTTCAACTTCAACTTCATTAAAAAAATGTGGCCAACCATAAAGCAAGATATTGTAGACTTTGTGAAAGAATTTTGGGCGAATGGGAGATTGGTGAAAGGAAGCAATTCATCTTTCATTGTCTTAATCCCAAAGAAAGAATCCCCCCAAGGCTTAGGGGATTACAGGCCTATATCCCTAGTTGGTTGCCTGTATAAAATTATCTCTAAGCTTCTCGCTAACAGATTAAGGAAGGTGATGCCAACGATCATCAGCCAAAACCAGTCAGCATTTGTTGGAAAGAGATTCATAGCAGATGGTATTGTCATTGCTAATGAGATTGTCCATGAAGCTAAGAAGAGAAGGAGGCCCACATTGATATTCAAAGCTGATTTTGAAAAAGCCTACGATAGTGTCAACTGGAAGTTCCTAGAGTTGATGATGGAAAAATTCGGTTTTTGTCTGAAGTGGAGAAAGTGGATCAAGGAATGCCTATCTACTTCATCTGTTTCTGTTTTGGTGAATGGTAGTCCTACAGCGGAATTCAGCATGGAAAAAGGACTGCGACAAGGTGATCCCTTAGCCCCATTCTTATTCCTTTTAGTCGCTGAAGCACTAAACGAGCTGATTTACAAAGCAAAGGAGTTAAATTTGTACAAAGGAGTGGAGATGGGAGAGGAACGTCTGGAAGTCACACACCTCCAATTTGCTGATGACTCTATATTCTTCTGTGATGCTTCTGACTCGAATATAAAAGCAATCAAAGGGATTCTCCGAACCTTTGAGCTTGTTTCGGGTCTCAAAGTGAATTTTTTCAAAAGTGCTTTGTATGGAATCAATGTAAAGGCTGAAGATGTAAGTAAATGGGCAGAATCTCTAAATTGTATGGTGGGTGCTATTCCTTTCAAATATCTCGGGGTACCAGTCGGAGCTAATCCAAGGAAGTTTTCAACTTGGGCACCTGTTATTGACTGCTTGAGACTCAAATTGTCAGGTTGGAAATGCGAATCGCTGTCATTTGGTGGAAGAATTGTTCTTCTGAATGCTGTCCTATCAAGCATCCCAGTCTACTTCTTTGCAATCATGAGAGCCCCCATAAAGGTAACTAACTTGCTAACCTCAATCCAAAGGAGATTTCTATGGGGGGGTAGGGAGGGTAATAGGAAGATAGCATGGGTGAGCTGGGAGAAAGTTTGTAGAAGTAGAAAAGAGGGAGGATTAGGTGTTAAAGACCTGGTCAAATTTAATATGGCTCTATTAGGAAAGTGGAGATGGAGATTGATGGTAGAAAAGGAGGCTCTATGGAATAGGGTAGTAGAGGCAAAATATGGGATACATAAGGAAAAGGATTGGGAGGGGAAAAACGTGAAGCATAGTTGTTCATCTTGGTGGAAGGCAGTGTGGAAGTTAGATAAAGAAGTAGGCAATAAAAAGGGATGGGTTTACAAGGGCCTGGTGAAAAGTGTGGGGGAAGGGAATGACACGTTATTTTGGAAGGAGAAATGGTGTGGGAAAAGGACTCTTAAGGAGAAATTTAACAGGTTATACAAAGTGGCAGTAAGTAAAGAGGCTTTGATTAAAGATATGGGTGAATGGAGGGATGGAGAATGGAGTTGGAATTGGGGTTGGCGTAGGGAGCTGATGGGAAGAGAGCTTTCTTTATTGCAAGATCTTGAGAAGCTGTTGAAAGAATGCAAACTGATGAAAGGAAAGCAAGACTTCTGGAGTTGGAAGCATGATTCGAAAGGAAACTACTCAACAAAATCTGCCTACTCCCTTTTAAATAACAGCATTGAGGAGCCAGGATCAATTCAATTCAACAAGATTTGGAATTCTAAGGTGCCACTTAAAGTTTCAGCTTTTGTGTGGAAACTCTTACAAGATAGAATTCCTACAGGTGAAAATTTGCTAAAAAGAGGTATGGCTGGAGGTGAACTAGATTTTGAATGCATTTTCTGTGGAAAACATATTGAATCAACAAGTCACTTATTCTTCACCTGTGAGGTCACTTGGGCGGTCTGGCAAGTATTCTATGCATGGTGGGGACAACAAGGTGTTCTTACATGTGAAGCTTGGAAGCATCTGCAGCAACATACAGGCATGATACAGAATGGAAAATTAAAAGAAGCTTGGTATGTGTCCTGGTTCACGGTCATTTGGTCCATCTAGCTATGGAGAAACCAGTTGATCTTCAAGGAAGGCAAGGACACTCCTGATACTGTGATGGAATTAATCAAGGTACGCTCTCTACACTGGATCAAGGCCAAGTCTAATTCTGAATTGGCTAAAGAACAATGGTGGAAGAATCCTAAGGATGCGTTAATATGTTTATAGGTTTAGCAGGTGATTAAGTAATGGGATTGTTTTGATTTTGTAATTCGTGATATATGCAGGATGATGTAAAGGGTTGGAGTACCCCTTGTACTCTATTTATAATTTAACAAATTTTCATTTTGCCGATCAAAAAAAAAAAATTAGTATGAAGTAAATCTTACATTACGTGTATATTTGCAATTTGAGTTCAAATTCAATTTGAACTCCTTGCAAGTTGCAACTTAATTATTATGTTGTTTTGTTTTTTCTATGTCTTGATATTTCTTGATTTCCTCCACTTGTGTGCTACCACCGTATCCTACTACTTGTAGGACCACCTTATCCTACTACTTGTACGTATAGTTCTCTGAAGCAATGAAAGAGATATAAAAATTCCATAAAATTTTATATGAAATTAGAGTTCAAACTTCATTTTTAAAAATTTGAAATCCAATGACAGCTTAAGTTTATTTAAAAAGAAGGCATTTTAAGCTTATTTATTAATTAGTTCGTGATTAAGAACTATATGACATGACTTGAAAGTTACTATTAAGTTTGTATATAAAAATGACATGTTAAGTAAAAAAAATTTACATAAAAAATATAATAAAAGACACATAATTTAAAAATAAAATAACTACTTCATATATTATCAATTAATTTCAACTTAAACACAAATTTTATGTGAAGTTAACGTCTAAATTTTCACCCAGAGTTCAAATTCAATTTGAACTCAAACTGCATATGTTCTCGTAAGAGAAAATAATGAAAATGAAATCTTAGACAATTATTTGAGAAAATAATAAAAATAAAATTTTAGACAATTATTTTTACAAAATTTTGGGGGGCCTACAGGCCCTAGCACCGACAGGCCCTAGCACCGTCAGGCCGTTTCGCGCCGCTCTGCCAATGCAAAAGGTGTGATTCGCGTGATTGACAAATTTAGATGAGGTTTCTTATGGAGGTTGTTGTGAGATGGAGAAAAAATTTAATTATTGGGTTGAGACAAGGGGTAAATTTTTTTGAGCAAAAGCTAAAATAGGGTTTCTATATGAGGAAGTCCTTTAGGAGCATTGGTGATTTGTGTCTGCATGGTGATAATCAAAGAACTGCTACTAAAGGTATATTTGTGTTTCCAATTGTCGATGCTTGTTGGGTTTATGAGCAGGTGTACGAAGCTACTATGGAAACCTGATTTGTGTATAGGCACAAGAAAAGCTCGTTGGTGTTGGACTCTAATGTTTAAATGAGCAATCCTCTAGTGAAGATTCAAGGAGAACAACAATGGAGGAGAGGAAGGTTGAAGAAGAAAAGGAGAGAAAAAACTACATTTTGAATGGATAAAAATACGTCTTATATAGTGCTTATGTGACATATCTGCTAATAATAAAAACTTGCTTGATAACCAATAAAAAGGTGCAATATAGCAATAAGACAAAGAAGAACAATCTATACAAGCATTGATATATATAGATACAAGATTGCATCTAAGTGCGAACAAACCTAATTTTAGATGACTTCCACTTTTTTTCATTCCATTTGCTTTGGTCACCAAATCTTATATCTTACATGCATTTTGATCAACTCAATCATCATTACAAAGTCAACCAAATTAACTCCATAAATTTCACCAAAGATATTCTTAGATGAGGCCCCAAAAGCTTTTATTGAGCTTAGCTCGACCAGGTTCTCTCAATTGAGCTTTCTCTGTCTGACTTGTGCAAGCTGTCACCTAAGCCCATATAGGCCAATAGAGTCATACCACTTGTAACGAGCACATTGTCTTAATATCACGCGGCTCTTCGACGCTTGCATCTCCACCAGAGGACAATTTGTTATGCAATTTGTTATTTACTTGTTAAGTTTTTAGGCACTGGTCTGTCAGCCACTTTTAGGTACCATAATCGGCCCAACAAGATACTGAAAGAATACACCAGGGTCTGGTCATTGCCACGAACCCATTTGTTGGGTACTGTTGCACACAAGATTACATGGCAAGGTTTAGGCAAAGTTAAAATTTTGGGCCATTGAAAATTTGGGTTGGAAATACAAACATGGGCCGCAGAAGATTGACCACAAGATTAAATTTTAAAAACTGAGACCGTCATTCTGGCCCAGAACCGCTCCGGAACTAACCATCTACACCAAGATCAGTCATGTACTCATATCAGTCAATCAAGTATGATCGCTCTAGCAGTCACCTTTTTTTTCTTCTTCTTTTTTTTTTTTTAGAAGTGATTGACATCTTTACTAATGTTAGTGAAGTGATGTTCCAATTTCAAGTTTGATATTTTTTTTATCTTTTATGAATAGATATTAATATTATTAGTATAATAATAATAATTTTTTAAAAAATATCAATCATATTGGTATTTGAGATTTTTTAACATTTGTGAAGTATAAATTAAATTTTATTAATTATAATATTTATAATTAATTTTATATAAAATTAATATAAAATATTTTAATTATAAATTTTAATTTATATTCTAAAAACACAAATTAAAAAAAATTCCTTTTTCATTTATCTTTTAAATTTTATAATTGATTAGCAATCATTTCTAACAACTATTAACTGCCACCGAATATACTACCAAAAAAAAAATTTCCTTAAAACAGTGGTAATTTTTGAAAATTTCCCAACAATTTGGCAATAAAAATAGTAATATCTCATTATCCCTACCTAACTTTCTTCCTCTACTTCTTTCTTTTCCGCTAGAGAGAGAAATTCTCTCTTTTTTCCACTCCTCAAAAATCCCTAGATCTATGGCCTACAACTGCTACGAGACGGAGACAAGCAGATTTGGAGATGGATTTTCGACGATGGAGTGAGATGGATGAAGAAACCTATAGCTACTGGAGATGGAGATCAAAACTGGAGATGATAGTCAATGATGATGATGGTGGTGACAGTGATGATGCGGATGGTGGTGATGGCCGGAATTGGGGGGAGGGGGCTCCAAGGAGAGAAAGATCAGGAACCTTCCTCACATTTTTCTCTTTTTTTTTTTTTATTCTACGCAGTTTTCAATTGTTGCTATTTTTTTAATTTTTTATGTGTGCATGTCTCGGATAATTATATATTTGTATGCTTCAAGATGATGAAGAACGATATAGAGAAAATAAGTTTTTAAGATAATTTTGAGTTTTTAAGATTGAATTTTGAATAGGACCGTGATACGTTTACCCTCACTGTTGACACCCTCTGTTACACACCTTCATTTTCGGTTACTCAATCCGTTAAACTCCAAACACCCGTTTCTTGCTCTCCCTGCTTTCCTTTTTCCTTCTTT